AACATGCTTAAGTCAACTTGACAAAGCCGATCACATGCACACTGCACAATGCACATGGTCCTATGTGAATGCAGATCAGAGAAATACCAGTGTGGATTGTTAAGACGTGTGTTTGTGTGAATTTGATGTTGATCATTAAAGAGTTTGACTGATAACTTAACAATTAAGGAAACTATCAGCAATTCTTTTCGTTAAACTTTGTCAAACAAATCTCGCTGACGCTTTTTATATTACAGATAACGAATAATTTATTATACCGTAATCCTCATAAACTTTGATTGATTTCGAAATTTCTTCCGGCGGAAAATTCTAAGCCAGTCGTTTTCATACTTACGTTCAGGAAATGCATCGGATCTCAAGAACACTTTGTGCGTCAGTTGTTGTATTACTCACGTTGCTAAGTACAGCTGAAATTCTAGAGCCTGATATAGAAAGGTTTGGGTTCATGTTACCTTTTGCAACTTTCTCTTTCATGGTAAAATAAGATTTCAATTTTTTCAACCGTCTCCTTTAACGTTTCTATGCACAATTATCGAAAATTATTTGGTTCATGAAATATGTTTGATAAATTAGTAACGAAAGAAAATCAGCAGCACATTAGCATAAACCTTTTCAGGTTCACTAAAGTAAGAAGAATGGACAGCTTTCCCAGAAATGTTCATAAAGAAGTTTTTGGAGCTGGGGCTGTTTCAGAAGACTCAGAAGCCAATGATACTGAATCAGACGGTTCTGAGTCGAACGATATCGGTGATGATCCTGAGTTGGACGATCCTGGTTCTGAATCTGATGAGACTGAGCTAGATGATACAAAGGAATCAAGAAAGACTGAATCTGATGCAGAGTCTGAAGAAGATGATACAAAGGAATCAAGGCAGACTGAATCTGATGTAAAGTCTGAAGAAGATGATACAAAGGAATCAAGACAAACTGAATCTGATGTAGTGTCCGAAGAAGAGGAGGATGATGGTGGTGCAAAAAAGTTTTTCTATAATCTATACTACAATATGCTGACAGGGATCTTCCATGATCTTGGAATTATCCTTAAATTCTTTTATAAATCCGTTTCGATTATCAAAAACTTCTTTGAAGAACTATGGGTCAAAATCAAAAGAAAGGTTAAGCAGTTCGTGAAAGAGACTTTAGAGAAGATCAACAAATTGTTAAAAGCAATTTGGGAGAAAATATCACAAGAATATTATCCCATTGTCCTTGATTTTGTGGGAGTATGGAGTTTGGAAATATTCCTCGTCATCGCCATCGTTTCTGTGTGGTCCTGTTTTTTCAACCACTACGTTATCAAAAAACATAAAATGAAGAAAAAGAAGAGGAAAGAGAAGGAAAAAGCAACGATATTTGCAAATGCATGTGCGGGTTTGGTGGAACTGGACCTCGAAAATGGGTCAAGCTATTTATCTAATGAGGAGTTAGCAGGACTAGGCTCAAGGACAGGAGATGAAATAGTAGGAGCGGAGGAAGGAGGGAGTATAATAGAGACTATACCAGAGGAGGAGGAGGAGAGTACAGAATGTAGTACTTCCATTTCAACAGAAGATGATACTAGTACTTTGGTCACTTCTAACGCGTCTGCGCAGGTTTAGGAGGAAAGATAGAATGATATAGATGTAACAATTACACGATACCAACAACCAACACTGGGACACGTGCAATTACCCGGTTAGACTTACCGTTTCTACTTCAAGAAAGGAAAAATGATTATAATCGTTTCGAACTTGATAGTTGAATATGGAGAGAGCTGAGGAACGACCGGTTAATTGGTGTTTTGGCTGCCGGACCCGAAACACGAACGGCTGGATATCAATTTATTTTTCGGTTAGCCAGATTTTTCCGGACCGAAACCGGGTGTTTAGAAATAGATGAAGAAACGTTAAGCTGCTGGAAAGTTCCAATTAATTCCTTTTTGAAACTCTATCATTTTAAAATTTGGTACGGAAAGGCAATTTTACGAATTTGACAACAACATGGTCTTGCCCCTAAGTTCCGATCAGTACCTCTTGTTACATCTGAACTTTAGGACCTGGAATGTAATCTCATTCGACCACGAGATCCAAACCTGAGGACCCGGGAAAATGCAATATCCCCTAATCCTTTAGATCCTCCGTCAGCATCTTCTCAAAATCTAACACCTGCAACTTAACTTTAGGATCCCCCACCACCTTCAGCCCCTCTTCTACCTTCAGTCTCTCCTCAGTGCCTGTATTTAAATGATATGCACCGGTTACCCGTACACAACTTGTTTTACTACCTCAGTTGATGATCCTTTCTTGTATGCTCCAGCACCTTATGATCCTTCCCCGCCCTCGTATTGAGATTTTTTAACTGAACTTTTTAACGGAGAACAGATCTTACTGAAGATTATAATGTGCGAACACTCTAAGAGGAAGCTGGTTCTCTAATTGCTACACCCACTTAATGAAACATGATAGTATACATACCCAAACATGCTTAAGTCAACTTGACAGAGCCGATCACATGCACATTGCACATGGTCCTATGTGAATGCAGATCAGAGGAATACCAGTGTGGATTGTTAAGACGTGTGTTTGTGTGCATCTCGTGTTGATCGTTTAATAGTTAATTGACTGATAACTCAACAATGGAGGACAATTTTCAGCTACTTATACTTATTAAATATTACCATTAGTTGATTTATTTGGTGGTTGATAGCTATTTTTTTCATTTGAATTTTGTCAATAAAATTTGTCGAATCTTTCAATATTGAAACAGATTTTTATTAGTTAAATTCAGTACATCACAATGAAAGTGCTGAGTCTTCCAAATGTTTGTTTGATTTCGAAATCTTCCGTCTGTAAATTTTAAACTATTTGTGTTCTTAGTAACGTTCAGGAAATGCATCGGATCTCAAGAACGCTTTGTGTGTCAGTTGTTGTACTACTCACATTGCTAAGTACAGCTGATCTTCTAGAGCCTGATAAGGAAAGGTTTGAAGCCGAATTTAACATCCATCAACATTTTGTTTTGGCAAAATTAAATTTGAATTTTTGAACTATTTTTGTCATTTGTGCGAAATTATCGAGTATGGTTAACAAAAACAGTTTTTAATAACTTAAATAAGATAAGAATATCTGCGGTATACTTTTATTCACCCTTCTAGGTACATTATAGAAGCAGGAGGAATAGACTCGCCCAAAGACGTTTATAGAATAACAAGGTCTGAAACTGTTGATTCAGATGACCCAGAAGCCAATGATACTCATGAATCAGACGGTTCTGAGTCGAACGATATTGGTAATAATCCTGAGTTGGACGATCCTAGTTCTGATGAATCAAGACAGACTGAATCTGATGTAGAGTCCGAAGAAGAAGAGGAAGAGGAGGAAGAAGAGGAAGTGGAGGAAGAAGAGGAAGTGGAGGAAGAAGAGGAAGTAGAGGAAGAGGAAGAGGATGATGGTGGTGCAGAGTTCTTCTATAATTTATATTACAAAGCGCTCACAGGGGCATTCCATCATCTCGGGGTTATCATTAAGTTTATTTACAAAACTTATTCCATCATCAAGAACTTCTTTGAAGAACTATGGGTCAAAATCAAAAGACTGGTTAAGAAGTTCGTGAAATATGCTTTGGAGAAGTTAAAAGAAATTTGGGAGAAGATAAAAGGAATTTGGGAAGAAATATCACAAGAAATTTATCCCGCCATCATTGATTTTATAGGAGAATGGAGTTTGGAAATATTCGTCGTCCTCTCCATTATTTTTGGGTGGTACACATGTTTTCATCACCACGTTCTCATAAAATATAAAAAGAAGAAAAAGGAGAAGAAAAAAGAAATAATACTTGAGAATGCATTGGCAGGATTAGTGGACCTCGAAAACGGGTCAAGCTGTTTATCCGATGAGGAATTAGCAGAAGAATGCTCAAAATTAACAGGAGATGAAATAGTTGGAGCGGAGGAAGGAGGGAGTATAATAGAGACTATACCAGAGGAGGAGGAGGAGAGTACAGAATGTAGTACTTCCATTTCAACAGAAGATGATACTAGTACTTTGGTCACTTCAAATGCGTCAGCGCAGGTTTAGGTAGAAAGATAGAAGTAGCAGAAATGGTAACAACACTGTGACACGTGCAATTACTTATTACTCGGTAAGACTTATCAACGGTAATCGTCCCTACTCATAACTCAATACCACAAATCCAGCCCAGAAAGGGTATTCAGAGCAAATTGGCGACTGGTTCTTATCTCAAACTCAAATAAAACTAGAGGAATAACGGGATTACTAACCAGATTTCGTATTCGCGGGCATTAGCAATATGCATACCGATCGTGATTAACATTAATTATGTACAGACTTGATTACTTATGCTTATTAGTGTTGTCAGTTAAAATGTAATCAGTTAAAGTTAGTTTTATGTTTATTTTAATTCAGTGCTATTTTTGTCCGGTTTAATAAACTCAGACCATGGATAGTTGCTGCAGTTTTATATTTTAAATTAGCAGTATTAAGAATTTTATTCAAAGTAATTTCAGCAGTTGTAATATTTTGTAACACTTAATTTTAAGAGAAGTTACAATTTCAGAAAATCACTCCGTCATTGTAATTGAGATTCGTATTTACAAAGAAGGCACTTAATTTTAATTAGAAACTGTAAATTTCATAGTAAATTATATTTAATTATATCTAAGCGATTCATTGCTAGATCCAAGATTGCTTACAGAAAAAATCAAAATTAATATCGTACAAATTCCCCTCCTTGGCTTAAAGATCGAAAGTATTAAAATATCGGCCTTGAAAAAAAAATATTAAATTTATAATAACACGTCGTTAACGTTTATTGTGGGAAAATCGAAACCGTGATTAATGTTAAGAATTTAATGAGCTAAGACAAAACTTTTAACTGGACGAACAGGCAAAACTTCCACAAAACTTGACTTTATTTATACATTTACCCATTGATTGGTCACTTACATTAATTAAAGCAAACATGGCAAAATAAAATGCTTAATCATTTAATTGATTACCTAATTACTTAATTACTTAATTACCCCGTATAACCTCTGCAATTTATATGAAGAATAAAATGAGCAATTACTGTGTGAGTTTATAAATGGTGAACAGTACAAACTCTTGTATAATGTATAAACACACATTTGACAATTACATAAGATACAAGTATGATACAAACTGTGAGTTTATAAGATTATAACTTGTATAATGTATATGTATAATGTATACAATGTAAAATGTGCATATTAATGATGTGAAGTGAGGGTGAAAGTGACAAAATCAAATCATTCAAAACTTCGAAAAGAGAAAACTCTTCCTACCAATAATATGTTATAAAACGTTTAATCTGATTTACCCGAATTATTTAGATATATTTATATAGCTATATAGCTTTTATCCAGCTTCAATAAACCGTGTTTTTGAGAGGGCTAGCCTGTAAAATTTTGGAGAAGGAGATTTGTTAAATTTTTCAAAATGCTTAATTTAAAAATTCTAAGCTAACAGACTCCGGAGCATTTGCTTTAGAAGCAAGGAAAAGATTTGGATCAAGATTTTTGGTTTTTCCACGGTATTTCAAGCAAGGTTAGGGCATTATTATTGCTTTAATGAGCTCACTTTTAGAAAATTGTGACGGACTTACGATGTTAACATTTAAGGGTACAGGATTTTATTTTTAAAAGGAGCTGTCATATTTTCAACCAATACACTTTTAGACTAGCCCATTTATCATTAAATAAGCGTCCCGATAAGCTTAAATTAAATACATAAGGTGTAAATAAAGACACGAATATTAACCAAGCAAAAGCAGGAATGGTTCATGGCTAGAACTTACCACCTGATCACCTTAAACACACGCTTATTTGCTACGGAGCACCCTCTACTACTGGACAATAAATAACTACACCTTAATTTAGCTATAAGCTACTAGTTAGTGATTGCAACCCATCTTACTTCAAGTCTTCACTACAAGTACTGATAAAAACAGTTCTTCTACAGGGAGGCTAGAGTCTAGACTTTAGCAATCTTCCATTTGGTGGTCAGCACACCATCTTTATTGCAGGCTCCGACTCCAACAACTCTAGATTTGAAGTTTAGGACGTTAACACAAATGTCACCGTATGAGTTGTAGAGAGTATTCGAGTCCTCATCCATCTCGAACCTGGTGAGGAGAGGGTTTACAATCTCTTGCAAAAAATATTAATATTAAATAATACCACACTAAAGTAGGATATTATATTAAAATAGGGTTTATAAGTACGTAGGAAGTGTCATTAAAGTAAATTAAAGTAAATTAAAATGACATCACATCATCACAGTATCTATATGAGAGAATATATAAATATTCCCCACATTAGGAATCTGTAACAGAATTTAGAATTTCCCGGAGGGATTGTTCATATGTTACGTAAGCCAACTAAGCAGAGTGGATTTAGAAAACCTTGTTATTTCTACGAAAAGCCATGGTTGCAGAGGGGAAGGGATAAAAATGGCAGAAATTTGTCTTACGTAATAATATGTGAAAGATCCCTAAGAGGGTCGCAGTTCCTAAAGTTGGTTACTTTGCATGATGTAAAATGTAAAATATGTAACTTTGAAAGAATGTGGAATGTAAACTTACTGTTGGTGCATGTTTCCGGTCTGACAGCGGTGCATTACAAGGATCTTGTTTCTAACCGTCAAACATACATCCTCTTGTGTAACCCAGTTCTTAGACTTGTTTATTTGCTGAAAATCAGGGGTTAAATCAGGGAAAGTTAGTCATCCACCATGGATATCACATTGAGGACCATATCGGATTATAAGTCAACAGATTCGTTTAGACTTCTGTCAGGAACTAAGGAAGTTATCTCAATGAAAAACATCTAATAACATTAATTACATGAAGGTGCCACAGGGTATGTTCAAAAAATCACATCAAATTAAGAGGTCTCACTGATCACCAAACACAAGCGGATCTTAACCTGATTACAGTTTCAACACACACTACACATATTATTGAGTAAACTTTGTCGGAACTAAATATAAGTTAAACTCACCCAGCTCTGGTTGCCACCTTTACCGTGACACTTGTACAGTCCAACCTCGTTGTCTGTCTTTCCGAAACTATCCAAGCACCAATCATTGAAGGAAATCGTTACATCGTTGTGTTCAGGGATCTCCAATTCTGGGTATATGTTATCCAGGTACCTGGGAGTTACTGCCATTAATTTATCGTACGTGATTTACCGCATCGGAGCTGAATTTCTATTAAGCGCAGTGAGCTGAGCTGAGTATAATATATACTACTAGCTGAGTATAATATATACTGTACTAATCATTATATAATATAATATGCAAATTTTCAAACTCTGCGCGCGAACCTTATCACAAATTTGTATTCGCGCGCTCCAAATATAGTTATTTTGAGACACGTAGACTGGATTTCGCTATTTAAAACAAGCGCAAGCTGGCAAACCCTAGACTTTAAAAGGGATTGGCACCTTTAAAAATTGCCAATTGCTATTGTACAAATGGTGTGGCAACACAAAGCCGACAAGATTGCTAAATTTAAAGAATGTAACCTTAGTGCGTATTGGTTAAAGTGTCCTACCAAAGCAACTTTAAAATTGTAATGTTTAGACCAAAATTAAACGAACTAATAAGAATTTTATTGATTCTAAATTGCAAAAGCCTTTTGATAGATTTACCTATTACATACTCTAAAATGTATATGCAAATTTCTTTAGAGTTAATTCTATGATCTTTTATACAGAATATGTGGGCAAACAACTGCCCACATATTATATTCCTCAACAACTGTCCACATATTATATTCCTCGACCTATTGTACGAAAAATAGCCCTATAATCGACCTTACATTTTTCGTCTATTCTATAAAAGAAGGACCCTTTAACAATAAATCAATCAAATAAAAACACAATGTTACAAAGATCATCAAAAATGTTCATAAAAATAAACAAATAATTTAAATTATAACTTCATAAAGTTGATGAATCAGACATTTCAGATTAGGCCCAACAGCACTAGTTCAAATTAATAAAATTCTTCGAATGCTAAATATGGATAAAACCACATATATAATCATTATGATTACTCTTGTTCGCCTCATCAGACACTTTACAATGATAATGATGATAACAAATTCCTTTTAGCATGCAATTCTTCATAAAATATCCTAGATTCATCTTTAAATCATTTACAGCAACTAGTAGAGTAGTAGGGCATTCTAACAAGGTATAACTCTCAGGAAGGCAAGCTTTACAAAGATAACACCTTTAATGTACCTCTAAAATATAGCTCTACCATGTAACACACGTGGCACAACGTGTGAGCAGTTTAATGTAGTTCAATAGTATAACAATACAGCGCACCTGTTGGTAACTATGAAGAAACACGTGGCAAATGGTTTACACTTCTCTTAAAATGAGTTAAGTTCTTTTAGAATTTCAGTTAAAATAGTTTTTATTAAACCAGTAACATTATTTAAAGTCCATTATAAAAATCATAATTTTAATTTTTAAAACACATTAAATTTGGAAGAAGAAAGTATCAGGAAACCTACATTACTAAACCTGCTCATATTTCACATTTTCAAGCCTTGTATTTCACAGATCCTTGTGTGGAAACTTCGTTAAAGAGCAGTTCAATTTTCAAAACTTAACCAAATTAAACATTCAATTGAGGTAGTAAGGTAGTAGCAGCAATACGTGGTTGCATAATATATCGCGGAGAAACTCTGTACAGACCCATAAATCAGGATAATATTATGTTACATCACTTACATAACAATATTATAATTCGAAAGATTATTTCTGTCTGTATAATGTATGTACGACCGCCCACGTGCAAATTAGGTAAAAAAAACAAAGGTTGCATAGTAACCATGGTAACGGTGTTGAACGCGCACGTGCACGTGCAAAGATTTGCGAGCGACATTTTGATCGACTTTGTAGTAATTGCGTTGTGTTCAGTGCGAGCTACATTTCATTGGCTGTATCTTCGGTTGTGACGGATATTTTTTGATGCAGTAAAAACTGACTACCAAAGAATACTATTACCTTCTTCCCAGTGACCTTACCACGGGCTTTCTAATTATATACAACTTCATCCATTATCTTAAGTTACAAGTCTACTGACTTACCCTCCATTTAGACCCATTTGTGGACTTTAAATATTTTCATCGCATTCAAATAACAGTCTTTATGACGCGAGCTTTTAGTCAGATTCATTTGATCAGGTAGCCATGTTCGCTTGAGAACAAGCCCTGAAGCCCGATATCCTGATGGAAAATAAATCGTTGCTTGTTATCCGAGTTCAAGTTGAATTTAACTTTTAACTAGTTTGATTCCTTTGCTAGATACTTGTGCTCTTGTGTTGCATTCCGGACGATTGCAAAATATTCTCCAACTCAGATAGTGGGATGTTGCGAGGTAGATACTGGAAATTAATTTCAGTGCTTTTATTGATTTTTCTGCCCGTGAACATAGAAGGAAACAAAAGGCGGGAAAAGCCGTCCAGATGGAAAGAGGCAGTGGATAATGATAACGATGAAAGAATGGTTGATTATGTTAATCGTGTGGAAAGTCGTCCTTATAATGTTAGTAACCAAGAAAAACGTTACCCAAATACATTTAAGTTCACATATTCTCCTCAATATGATGAGTCCTGCGATTGTCTAAGAAGTGTCCCCAGCAAAGTTTCAAGGGCAGACAGAGACGTAGAGACCTTAGAACCTCCTTTAAAAAATGTATACATAAAATACGATCCCGGGGAACTATCCAAAAACGATAAGTCTTCTACGAAGATAGAAAATCTTCGGATGCATTTGATGGAACGTGACGAGCGGAGTGCCCTCATGGTGATCAGCAGCGGTTATCAACCCATATGCGATGACGAATTTAATGATCGCACCGCCATTGCTCTATGTCAATTGCACGGGTTTGAAACTGGTCGTAGAACCTCCATAAGTTTATAAAGTCGCCAACTTGCTTTTTGGGATATATTGAATGGGAAGACTGAGAATGAATTAGAATGGGGACTTCGCGTAAACGGAATTGTTCAATATGATTCCAGGAGGTTCCACTGTTTCCGTGCAGTTAGTATCGCAAACCATCCTGGGCAGGCACATAACTACCTAGGCAAACATTCTACAAATACCACCCTAGGCACACAGATGCTAAACGCGACCGATAATATTTCAATTGCTGACACATGCTCGGAACTGACGGAAACTCATATGCCCTGTTCCAGAAACCAAGCCGCTGCTGTCTTTTGCCACAACAATGACCCTCCTTTTCTGCAGTTCTACAACATCGAAATACACGTTGGATTAACAAAGTTTTATATCACATTCAATGCAAGATATGTCAAGCTCGGAAGGATATACGAATATTTTGAAGATTTTCCTAAGTCAAATGATGTGATGCCAAAGCGTTCTGACTTCAGTGCGACTATGTGTGGAAGGAAGGTTCCCCTGGATCTCGAGACCACGCGGGATATGGGTAAAGGCAGACACCTCGTGTTTTTGGGAAAATTCCTTAAAAAGTGTGAGGAATGTGTTCGGATGAAATTCAAAGATTACGTCATAATTTTTGAAGACGAACATTTTATTTGTAAGCTGGAAGGAGACAGAACAAAAGAGAACGAGAAAAATGACAAAAAACCAAAGTCCACGAAAAAAATGAAAAGTGAGGACCTAACTCGAAAGGAAAGAAAACGGTCAAAGAAGAAACAAAAAGAAATTAAAAGTGAGGACCTAACTCGAAAGGAAAGAAAACGGTCAAAGAAGAAACAAAAAGAAATGAAAAGTGAGGACCTAACTCGAAAGGAAAGAAAATGGTTAAAGAAGAAACGAAAGCGCAGGAATAAAACTAAACTTGAGCTTAATCAGGATATCAATCCATTTGTTGGTGTAAATCAATGGATAGAGTTATCATGGAGCGCATCAAACGCTGGCTTTTAGGTCTAACCATTAAAACAGTTAGAGCTTTCGCCTTCTGCGCAAAAGAAGCGGTCAAAATAAGAAACAAAACCGAAGGAATAAAATTACTACTGATTCATTTGATAAAAAATGTTGTTGGCTTATTTGACCGCCAAAATAAAACATTCCCTAAAAGCCTAAACATACTATTATGCAAAAGATGATGCAATTCATCTTTTGGCTAATGAGGACAGAGGAATGGGCTCAACAAACATAATTGTCAACATGTGTTACATGTAAATTACAGCCGTGTAAACACCGCATGCTTAGTTTTTTCTTATTATTGATAAATTTGAAATACTTGTCTTAATTATAATTCGAAAGATTATCTTTGTATGTCTGTCTGTACGACCGCCCACGTGCAAATTTATCGATTTTATTGTCATATTACGTTGTGTTTAGTGCGAGCAACATTTCAATCGGCAGTATCATCGGTTGTGATGGATATTGTTTGATGCGATAAAAACTTACTATCAAAGAATACTATTAGCTTCTCTCTGTGACCACGGGCTTCCTAGTTCATGTATGATTTATTAATCTGTCAATACACAGTTGGGGATCCAAGATAGGAGCAATCAGGGCATAAACCAAAAATCAGCTGAACCAAAAATCAGCTGGGGCACAGTCTCTGTTAAGTTTTCATTTTTCAGACTAAAATTAATATTACGCACTGCGCTGTAAATGTAAGTCATAAATCAAGATAACAGTGTTATCGACATTATAAATCATTCACTGGGAAAAGACAATTATATTTTAAACGAAATTGCCTGGATTTTGTACGCATGAACTCGCTCCTTTGAGAGAAACATGAATATTTGAGGTACCGTCAACCTTCGCCAAGGGCTGTCCGCTGTTATCTTTATAATACCCTGAATTCAGGTTCATATTATAAAGGGGCTAGTCAAGTATATAATACCAGAATTTCGAAAAGCCATGGTGAATTATTGTTTGAACTGGGAATTATAATTATAATTAGTAGTTGAGAGCTTTAAGCCGCAAGTTTTAAGCCACTAGAGTATTGGTTCCTTTCGGCCGACTATTAACCATGAAAGTAATATTATATTGTACAAGATAGGCCTGCAGAAGAATTGTACAATAGAATGTACTACAGTGTTGTACACTGTACAGGTCACTCTGTCGGTAAACATGGTGTTTGTGACGTATATTTACAGCTCATCATTTTATTTAGGCCGGTGCCTTTGTCTTTAACAGTAAGAAAGTATAAGTTTTAGTAGCACATATATATGTATTAAGTTACGCATGCACTAAGATATAAGTTCAAAGTTAGTAATCCTTTTAAATGGCACTAAGATTTAAGAGGCGGAACAATCCTAGAATCTCCCGATTTAGGTTACACTGTATAAATATATTACAGGCCAATATATACAAGAAAATGCAAATAAAGAAATCTGATATACATGGAAACGTTCTGTCTGTCATTATTCTTTTTTCATCGTTTTAGTTTAAAACTAAAAATCGATCAGGTTTTGTGGCGAGCAAAATATCGCAAATCATATCTCTTAATTTGTTCAAATAATTTATAAAATTTGGACATTTGGTGCACTTACTGTGCTTACTTATTAAAGATTACACAGAAGATAATATAATGGAATGAGGCTATATATAAGACAGTAAGTATTATTTATCATGAGAAAAGTGTCACATTGTTTACTTGACTAACCGTATTTAACGGTTGTATCAGATAAGGAGGTAACACTGGGGAAGTGTGTACCTCTTCAAGTAAATATTTCCGAGCTGTTGCTTTGTTAATCATAATTAATTATAATTAGTATAATTAATTGTAATTAGTATATGCGATTATTTTACACGTCCCTCTCTAATATTACCTTCTAAGTGCGACTTTTAAGGAATATCCTCTCAGAAATATATGCTGTACTGAGTTTCTATAGTTAACAATGTCGACAATGCCAACAATGTTAACAATGTAGAATGATCAAACGACTAGTAACTTTACAGGATCAAATAATAATTAGACATGATGGATCGTGCAATGAAATTTAAATTCGAACAGCACGTTGACGTTTTGTGGGCGGAATAGAATATAACCAGATTTTACACAGCAATACATAATTGAAACATAATAAATCATTTAATGATCCACTTATGGTATGCAGGATTAAATAAACCAGAAATTGATCCTGTTAGCAATTAGCATAAAACCTTTTTAAACTATAGATATATTACGATAGTATGCTAACACGGAAATAGCTGAAATTCTTGTAAACTAAGCGCCCTGGATACAGTACACGTTAATACTTTAATAGGGTATAATTAGTGGCATTACAGTGCACTTTATGGTATTTATATCGTTATTGTTACTGGTAGTTACCCAATTCTTTAGCTAAACATCTAACAGTTATAATAGAACTGTAAGATGTAAAGTAAACAAACTGTGCTTCTTTCTGCTTCTTTTATTACTATACTAACCATTCCCAATTAAATTATTATAAAAGTTTGAACAAACTACTGCCATTAACAGGGCCGCTAGAAGGAAGGCACATTCTCGGTTAATTGAGGAACTCGTGAATGAAGGCGCGGTAAACAGATGTTTGACTGTTTATTCAATATTTTACCCAAATAAATGTATAGTAAATAAATTAACTGTACAGGAAGTGGTTAGATACAGGGGAGGTAGTTGAGTGTGCCCCATATCCTAGCACTAGGCCTAATTGTCCTGTATAAAGGGACAAAGGGTGGTAATTTACTCTGGGCCACCCTGTATGCTTTGATCTCGATCCTGGACCTATGTGGCAAGTTTGCTCCCTAAACCAAATCCAAAACCAAAACCAAAACCAAAACAGACAAACTAACCACTGAAAGTTGTTGCACTTGAGTTTCTCCCTGAGTGCAAGTCTGGGGCTGGTATCTCCTATCTCAGAGTACCTAGCACTCGCTCTGTTGTGGTAGAACAACTCCTTGTAATCATCCATCCAGATCTCAGCTACTAGTTTAGTGTTCTTACTGTACGTCTTACCGTTACCTGGTAGGATAGTTATAGTTAGTCTCAGCTACTAGTTTAGTTTTTGTGTGGTTAGATTCTGCTAAACCCCAGGTAGGATAGCTTCAGAAAAAGCTTTAGAAAAGAAGATGCGCCCTGCATTATACAGTAGTAATAACAGCTGGCAAAATATTATTACATTTGAAATGGCAGAATATAAAAGTAAGTCATCATTTGACCATGTTTGAAATACAAGTCATTGCTCTTACAATTCTGTGCGCTGCTAAGAGCCGGAGAGCCCTATTATAGTGAGTCAATGTGCAGTTTCTTCGGTTCAAATAAAATGCAAATGATCTGTGTCATTTAAAATGTCAGGTTCAGTTTGTATGTCAGCGTGTCTGTTTGTCCCTCTTTTCGTGTACATCATTTTATCTGCAGCCCAGCCTGTTTTTCTTTAAAGCACAAGTATCAGGTTTCTTTCTGTCAGTTTAAGAGTCTGTCTTTCTGTCAGTATGGTAAGTTTTGTCTTTGTCTTTCTGTCACACTTTTCGTTCCCTCCTTACCATCAGGGAAGGTATAAGGATGTTTCTTCCTAAAGATATGCCCGACTCTTGAACAGGGCAGAATGTACAGATAACCCCCACACATCCAGTTCTTGAAACTAATCTCAAAGTTCTCACCGCCCCAAATATCCATGTTCATGTCGTACCCTCCTGACCTGGGTGATTGTATGTTAGTTTAATTAATTAGCAGTTAATGGGGGAGCCGAGAGAGAAGCTTAATTCGTTATCTAGTACATTTGATTTCTTTTGCTAGTACTGACAAAGTCGCTAAAATCCATTATAATTATGGTTGATTCACCACTGCACTGATCATCCTAGAGCAGTTGTTGATTGTTCATGATAGCTGCACAGAGATAAATATACCAGTATTCGGCATCTCTGTCTGCTAAATATCATCAGTGTTAGAAGCTCCATTGAGTACACGTATTAGACAGAAACTGTTTAAAATTGTTGGAGAGAGGCCTTGTTTTGGGGGCCTTATTTTGGGACGATGAGCAGGACGTATGCTCACTTCTTTCGTCTACTTAGCCATATTTTACGCGAGAATCTGAATAATGCAGACACGTAAAGTTAGCGCCATATTGTAGGCCACACGGAATTCAGAGCTAGAGCTTTAGGAAAATGAGCAGGGCATTCTAAAATAAAACTAAGATCATAAGCGGCGGGGGTCTACTGGGTAAAGAAAATGAGCAGAGCACTTGAAGATGTCTAGAGAACTAAGATCTTGTGGTTGTTAACTTGGTTAAGGAAGTGACAATATAATACAGAGTAACTGAGTAAGATCATGAGCTGCCTACTGGGCAGTGGGCACACAGTAGCATTAAATCCTTAGCACGCGAATAACAACACGTTCAACTAGCCACGCCTCCCCTTAACAGTTAACACCACGTCCACTTGTTGTGCAGATACTTGTTTTAACCGTCTCTTAATGCAGCTGCTTTTATTGCTGGGGGAAGCCAAGGGGTATTTTTGAGTACTTTGGGGTATAATGGGGGATTTCAAAACTCCACTTAGGCATTCCCCATAATACCCCAAAATAGCCCTTGGCTTCCCTCCTATTCCTAGTGACTAACACTGCTAAGGTATGAGATGGACATGTTTTGTGATCCTACCGCTCAATTTAGAAGTGAATTTCCAGTGCTTTGCCGAACTGATTAGCTTGTAATTTTTAAAACGGAATTTTATCCGTTTAAGACAAAAAGAATTACTCATAAAGCAAGAAAATTCATCTTTAAAGACTTTACAGAAAACTTGGCTGTGTTTTTAAACAAAGTAACTTGACTTCACAGGCTTATTAATTTATAAAATATTTTGTATTTGACTTCTGTGACTATTAAAGCAATATTTCAATAGATAGCACAGGGATTTCGAAAGTTTTCCTAATTCCTGGATTCATTTCGACGAGCAAAGATGAGGATAATTCTGCTGCTCATCCTTTTAGAATCCCAACTTGTCTGTGGAGATGACATAAAAACAGTCATCAGCCCTTTAAGTGCAGCTGCAAATGATGCTCCAACAACTGCTAAATGCCCTGATGGATACACCATGATTGGTTGCAAGTTAGCAGATGGTAGCACCTACAGCATCTCCGATGGGCTTTACTTTGAGGATGGTGGCTGTGTTGCAGTAGCAAGAGGTGGTACAGGAGTTAAGGTAAGGTAGTCACTAGTCACTAGTCATAAGTATGATGGTATAAGAAGAAAAACGTGTTCTAAATATTATCACGTACACTGTAATATTTAGAATTTAAATACCTCCACCGACCGTTACTGAGGCAGCCTTATATTTCAGAGTCAGGCAACTTGTCGGAAGAACAGTCGAATGTTCCAAGTCCTACTCAAAAATAAACACCAAGTGGCCAGAGATGAAACAGACAGTCTCAAGTGTGATGACGGCTACACAATGACGGACTGTCTGTTCTACTCTATATGGTGGTAACAACCAGAAGGAGTAGAGTCTGATGGAACGATGCCCTCCTGCTCAGTGACCTGTCTGAAAGACTATTGCTTTCTGAGTGCTATATGCATGAAACCCTGGGGTACGTTCATTTTAATTAGAAGAGAAATTGCGATTTTAATAGTGATTTTAGTCCCCCTAGATTTACTTGGTTCTGCTGAAAGTTTCTATCATTAACATTCCGATGGATTTAGAAAGCTTTTGGTTTGTAACTTAAAGGTGTCTACATTACTGGGCAATATGGACATCTTTAAGCTTACAATATGGGTAGAGCATACCCAATAGTTTTATTGCTTTATGAGTATTGCTGAAAGCACAGTGTAAGGCCTACACGGACCGCCTCTAACTAGCCAATCCCTGTTTACATGCCGTGTAGCAGGGGACCAGAAATGTTTGTTTTCATTTTTGTTTCTAAATCCTGTAGCAGAGTGGTAACACATGGTAAAACATGGTAAGCAAAGCATCTATCAAGAATTAAACTCACAATTTTGCAATGACGTTGCATGATGACAACATAAGGATATATAATATATATGTAAAGGAGCTCTGTGACCTGTTCAACCAAAGAATGCTTCCTAAGTGCTAATATGCACGATGACCATTATTGGTAAGTTGTTAAACGTTATTCCCTTTCGGTCAGCATTTACCTTTTAGAGTTAACGTAACCTATTTCATTGACCTATAATTATTATTGCAACTTATAAACTAGAAGAGTTTAATTAAGTTAATACTAGTATATAATAATAGTAGTTTAGTATCATACAATCAAATCAGTTTAAATGTGAATATCAAATGTAATAACTCCAGCTGTTGACGGTGGATGGAGTGAGTTTGGTGTTTGGTCAGTTTGGTCTTTTTACGCTACTAACTACTTCATCTCACCACACAGTCACTTAACTATTTGTACAATGTGCCCACATTGCCACTTGTTTGCCCCAAGTACCAACAAATTCAGACATTTCACAATTTCAGTGGTACAATGTGATGAACTAAACCTTGGTAACACCCACCTCTCGACCATTGTCCGTGTTAAGGACACTGTTGTCATAGTAACCTGCTTCAAACCTAAACACTACGTTCTAATTGGAGAACAAGAGGTCACGTGCCAGTCTAATGGACAGTGGACAACAACACCAACATGTGTAAAATGTGGTATGTACATAACTTTTGCATTCCGTAACTGCCCTCCGTACATTACTAAATATTCCTCAAATCCTTTTATGGTGAAATTTCTCTATTGATGATATTATCATTTGAATAACATTTGAAAAACTTATCCGCCAGCCATAAACTTATTACATGATGTTTTAGGGAACATCATTAATAAGTTTATGGTAACTTTAAATTGAATTACGAGTGTAATGATTCGTTGATTCCCAGATCAGTTTATGCAAAGTACAATGACTACTGTCAGTAACTATTCACTCCTACAAATACAACCTCAATTCTAACTATATTTTATTAATTTACAGTACAGCACACAGTTCACTTATCTACCTACAGACTGCTCATTATTCATCTCTCTAACCTTCAGGATGTGCTGACCAGTACCTCTCAGTATTTCTTAGTAGGAGCTCCTGTAAACTCCTAGTTCCTGCTCTCACATACAGCTCTAGTGGCTCCACCCATCCCTAGACCGGCAGAAATACCATTGTATTTATAGCTTTGTAGACTACGTTCTTATCTTAATCACCATAAGGCCAGAGGGGGGGGTAAATGGCACTTTTGTAGTTTTTGCATATTTGATAATAGCTACTGGAGACGAACAAAAAGAAAAAAACCGGATCAAAATCTGACCTTGCGCTTCTGAGATATCGCGCGCTCAATTTTGAGGTTTACCTGTAATTACATGTTAAACTGGAACTTTAAACGGCTGTTACTTTTTTGACCTTTCGATTCCTTAGTTGAGAAAACCGGCCAATCCCTGATCTTGAGATTTGGTACAGTGGTTCCTTGGACAATTATCCTCACATCTGGTGCAGCGATTTTTTTTATTTGACTCTGTTCTCAAATTATGAGGTTAACCATGTCAAAAATTCGGAAAATTTAATTGGTTAACCTCATAATTCGAGAAACGAGTCAAATAAAAAAAATCGCTGCACCAGATATCTAGATAGTTGTCCAAGGAACCACTGTACCAAATCTCAATATCAGGGAGTGGCCGGTTTTCTCAACTAAGGAATCGAAAGGTCAAAAAATGTGTTTTGAGATAGATGCAATTTAGTGTTTTCAAAATTTTGAATATTCACTGGAATGTATCACAGTTCGTTAGTTAGGACTTTTTATACACTTAATAACGTTTGCTTGATCAGACCTGGCCGTCTCCTAAATGATTTTAGCCACTTTCAGTAGTTAATGTCCTTGTATTGTAAAAAATGAGGTTAACCAAGACTTCCTGTAAACACTAACTGCTTAGAATTTGGTTGTTAACCTCGCTTTAGACCATATAACACTGGGATTGGTTTATCAATATGTTACTATGTATGTAGTAAAACATTTGTACAGTATAACGATTACGTTTTTGAGGTTAACATGTAATTGACTGGTCAGATATTCAAAAAATGAGAGGTTAACCTCATTTTTTAGCCATTTACGGGTAAAATCTTCTACTAAAATATGGTCAGTTCAAATCACCTTTGTCACGTGATTATAGTTGTAGGCATTGTGATACCAATAGATACCTCACTTCGATATTGTGGTACATTACATAGGTAAGAATCGTATGTATATTCCCTACGGTACCAAAATGTGATGGTTAACCTCATTTTTTTCATTTTCTCAAGATAAAAGAAAGTCAATCAACACGTCATCTATTTAGAAATTTGTATACCGTAAACTTACGATGAAAATAATAACTCTATCATTTGATCTATTCTCGATATATCTAAAAGAAGAGGTTAACCTCATTTAATCACGTTTGGATATTACTTTTTCTGATAATTATGAACCTAAAATTTAGAGTTTACATTTGCTGACCGAAATAACAAAAAATTATGGCGTGTAATAAAATATGAACCTCAATTTTATTAACCTCAATGTTGTATAGTCAATTTTGTGAAAATCGGTTAACCTCAATTATAAAATAAAGTTAATCAGCTACAAATATGTGAATAGCAGCAATGTTTTTGTCATCAAAAATTAAATCGATTTAGAAAATAATATTTTGGTAGAATTTTTTGACCCCTTACCCCCCCCCCCT